AAAAAAAATCCATCGTTCCGGTTGGATTTGAACCAGCTTCTCCTAGCAAACCGTGCCAGACGCTATTCCAACTAAGCCACGGAATGAACCAGCGGTCCTCGCGGATTTTTTCTATGTGCCTTCGCAGATCTTTGTTTTTTGTTTTTTAACGACTTTTTGCCGTAGGGCCATCTGTGAGAAATCTATTTCTTGGTGGTAAAATATCGTGACCTTCAATAAATTGAATTGTAAAATATATAAGGTCCTCAAACCGCATTAGGGAGCGTGGGAGACATGGCTAGCTCCTTATGAAAGAGTTTTTCCAGGGAAGTACTGTCACCTTACCTATTTCTGCCGCCAAGCAGTAATGTCAGCATTATCTTAAGAGGGACATCTTAAATAATAAATACGTAACTAATCCGTCATAAGGATATAATTGCAGTGCAGAACAATGTTCTAATTAATGAATGCCCTGTTTTTTTATTTTTACTGTTTAACGGTTTGCTGTGTTTAAATCATTGACTTACAAATAAATGGACGACGGGTCTAATACAAAAACCACGAAAAAAATGTCCCAAGTCAACCTATTTAAACGTAGTGACATTTCAAGGAATATGAAAAAGCTAAAACGTTGAATTTAAATTGTAATGTCATCGCAGTACTGTCTAATTTTGCTTGCTTCGCTGTCAGTCGAACAAACGAAGACTAGAGCGTGAATGACGCTCTATATACGATTTTAACGCTCTATAAGTTCGGACACTTTTTAGCGCGGACCCGACGTCCATATAATTGTAAGTCAATGGTTTAAATGAAATTTTTGCCATGGTCATTGTTTTAAGAATATTTTATCTCTAGATGGAGCCCTGGAGAGCGCACAGGGTATCCTAGTTTAGTTTAGTCCAGCCTTTACAGACAACTAATATTTTGGTTACAACATAATGTTATGTAGTATTGTTATAGAGTTGTGTGTGAAGAAAAAAACTCATATTATTATTGCTATTATATAACTACCTGTGCGTGTGTGCCTGTGCGGCCACTGCCGAACGGTTATCACTCTGGACTGCCACGCAGAGCTCCCAGGTTCGATTCCCGGGCCAGTAGAAAAATTTATATGGCCTACATTAATTTATCTCGAGAGTTTGGTTGTAATTTGTGATTGTGTACCTATGTATGTGCCCTGGCACCCGCGATACTGGGTTTCCCTAGTGCGGGGCAATGAGTGTGTGCGTCATTATATATTTAATTTAATTAATACTTTGTTTCAGTCGTGATGACCGTGTTCTTGGCTTGCCTGTCAACGCTGCCTGTCATCATGCTAATCATGGGTGAGTCGAAGTATTTGTCGCTGTCATATGTTAAATAGAAGTGGCAGAAAAGAGTGCGCGCTGTGCGATCGGTGGAATCCGTCGTCCACTAAGCTTATTGTCTTCTCAATATACAAAGCAGCGTGTTTTGAAAAGACTAGCCGGTTATTAACCAACTTCAAAAAAACGAGAAGGTTATCAATTCGATTGTGTGTTTTTTTTGTATGTGTGTTACGCGACGACTCTAAATTTGTGAACCGACTTCGATGATTCTTTTTTTTTGGAAAGAGGGTACCTCAGTTACTAGTGATCCCATTTAAATTTAATAAAAATATTCCACCTCTAAGGGAAGCAAACTAGGAGATGAATGACTTTAGAGAGAACGTTTATTTGGATCTACAGTCACACATACATAACAGAAAAATATGTAATATAATAAAAAGAAAAAAAACCGGCAGAGTCGCAGCACTGCCCAGTTATGTATGTGTGCTGTAGCAGTGCAAAAAGGCCATAGCTCAGCGTCGGTGTTTACTCAGGAGCAAACCGCTGATTTTCAGTTGTAACCTAGAGGATGTCGCGGATTTGACCAGCCAGCTGATGCCATCCTCATGTTGTATAAATTAACAAATAATAATTTCGAAACTAAATAAATACGGAAGATAATATAAATATAATAAATGATATTTTTTTTAGATTTGATTTAACTATATTGATAATATGACCAAATTATAAATTGAAATTTTAAGTTATTATTTCATAAAAGTCAATGTAATTATAAATATGTAAATCTTGTTGCTATTACACAATGTTATGTAGGCAATTTTCGCTACCTACTAATACTGTCTGCTGAGATTATTTTCCTTTTTAACCGACTTCAAAAAAGGAGGAGGTTCTCAATTCGACTGTATGTTCTTTCTTAAGTATGTTACGCGATAACTCCAGTATTTGTGAACAGATTTTCATGATTCTTTTTTTGTTGGAAAGAGGGTGCTTCCATAGTGGACACATTTCATTTTGAAGAAAATCATCCACCTCGAAGGGTGGCTGTTCACGCATGAAGATTCACTTTTATAAATAGCGCCTAATTTTAATTTAGGATTACTTTAATGGTTGATTTTGCTATTTCTTCCATTCAAGGCGTTTTCCTCTCAATATACTTTGAGTAGTGTCGTAGTGAGAACCTATTTTTATTATCTCCAGTGTCAAGTCTGTATAGTGGCGAACTAGGGGATATTTCAATAAAACTTAGCAAATAGACGTAGCTCCACGTACTTTTGAGGTCGGTTTTTTTAGTACTCTGTACTTAGATTATTTATTTTAGGTACAATTTGAAAATAGAAAATTACTCGATTATCATTTCCTGCCGTTAAGTTGCCTGCTTATCCGTATTCTACAGAATATATGACTGAGAGTATGCGAGGGAATTGCTTAATTTATATCCGCCTTTCCTTTTTTGGGGGACCAGACGTAGGCTAAGTTGTGGATATTCCAAGGATTCGCCCGAAGCGTTTCACTTCCACATTTATATGGCGAACGGCTACGGAGAGTGGAATTTCCTTTCCGCAGACTTGTTCCCTGAACTGTATAAATTGGGCCTTTTCAAGGCGAGATTTAGGCATTATTTATACTTACTTTGCAGGCCGTGGCCGGGAAGAATTCTTACGTGTCATAAATGACAAATTTCAGTGTTAATTTTTTGAAATTAATGCAAAATTTTCTGTTTGAGAAAAAACAATTATACAGAGCGTGCCATGTTTTTTAAATAAATTGTATAATAGTCTCACGTTTTTGGAATAAATAGTGTTCTTTAATTCAAGATACTATGTCACTTAGAAGGAATTAATTTTATAATAGGTGTCAAGTCAACTATTTCTATCGGCATTACAAAAATACAGGTGTTATTTTTTTTCTATTTGGTCGGTTCGATTCCCAGATCAGGCAAGCAACATTTTAATTTTTTTTGGATGCAACGACGCCAAATATCCCGATACAGACGCAATGCATCAAGCTACATATTGACGGATCTTGTTCCGTTGTTAGAGCTCCGTCACTCGCTCAAGGTTACGCGATAAGTGCCTACCGCTGAGTGTACCGACGTCGGCACAAGCGCGTATACAAGTCTTTCATTTATGAGCATTAGGCTCCGCACGACACACACGGCGGGCAACGTTATTTTCAACACTCTGAGCATGGGCTTAGGTTCCATTTTCCTCGTGGTGAGCGCCTGATATCATTAATCAGATTTGGGCTATATAGCGTAGGTATATTTGATTTTAAATGAGGGTGATCTATATAGTCTGATGTACAACATTTTTAGTAATTTTTTTTCGTATCCCATTGCCTTTGAATGCTCTGTATAATTTTTCATATCAAATACAATTTTGCCTGGTATTACGTGTCATGATATGTTTTTTAAATATTATATTCTGTTTGTTTATCAAACTATTCGATATTCGTCACTTTATTTTCAAGGGTGCTTTGAGTGCGCAAGTAAAATGTAAAACAAAATTTTTTTCATGTGAACGCAGTAATTTTCGTTAGCGATATTATTTGGACTTGAGTGTCTTTGAGAGACAAGTTTAAAGAGATTAACATTCTTACGCTAATGTCACAGTACATTTATGAAAATATTATTCGTGTTAATACAATTCAGATCAATCAGATTTATGATAACAAAATTCGATAAAAATCAGGGGGTCTACTCTCAATCTCCGTCCGACACCCGTCCGAAACAATTACTGTCAAATAAGTAATATTCGACAAAATTAAAAGACAAGTACCAAGTATGAAGCTTCATTCGCATCACGCGTCTTTTCATTTGGTCAAGTATTGCTTATTTGGCAGTAATTGTTTCGGACGGATGTCGGACGGAGATCGGGAGTAGACCCCCAGATTCGTGGCGTCAGTGACGTGATTGAGAGGCGCTATTATTTTCACAGTCGGAGACACGAGATATAAAACAGAATTTCACTAAGGTACGAAGAAAATTACTGTTAAACTACACAATTTGAATAAGATAGTACACCGGCGTAACGAATCACAGTTAACCTCAAAATATTGATCAGCTGATTGGATGTATTACTTCAGTGGGCGTCAACAGAACTGACAAGCATTTGATAAGTTACCAGTGTTACCAACTTAATTAATTCATTGCGGCTGCATTCGAGCAAACTCGATCCAATTCACGCAGAGCTCATTACGAATAACTTCCAAGAGATTCCACTGCAGTGTGAACGTGAGAACTGTAGACCTACCGCCATCTTTGAATAAATTCCAGTACTAATAATCCCTGAAGTATCCCTAGTCTCTTTGGTACCGTGGTCCCGGCCCAAGTATGATGAAGCCTAGGCAAACTCTCACGTGCGCCGGTTGCAAAAGCTGCATTGCGGACGATAGATACGCCAACTGTACCCTTAGTAAGTGTGACAAACGCTTTCACCTCCTCTGTGTAGGTCTGGAACGCCCCGCGCCTGATTCATGGGTCTGTCCAGACTGCCGCAGTACGATGAGGAAAGGGGGCGACAACTCGGCGACCCCGGTGAGACAGACAGATAACGTCACATTAAGGAGATAAAAACCATCCAGTCTTGTAGAGACAACACAACAAGACCTGTTCTCCTTTATCAGAACAAGTGGACGAAATTCGTCTGCTCAGAGCTGAAGTATCTACGATGAAATCGGAATTTTAGGTAGCCCCTCAAACAATTTAACACAAGATTGAATGCAATGACCAACGCAATGTCCGCATTTGACGCCTGTTTGAGTATTACGGAGGGAAAGGCGGATGAAGTGGTGGAACTGAAACAGGAAGTCGACGTACGGAATGACAGGCTTAACTCTCAAGCGCAAACCTTTTTAAGAAATGAGATAGAAATAATCGGAGTGACTGAAACGCAAAATGAAAATCTGCACCACACTATCCTAATGATGTCTTCCTTAATATGTGTTAAACTTAATGACTCTGATGTTGATTGCGTCTAACGTGCCGGTCCCCGCAGGAGCACTGGTCATACTCTGACTAGCCAAGTAGTTGTGAAATTTACGAGACACTCGTTCATACGCACTTTCCCTTACACAAATCATACACCAACAATTCCTTTCAAACAAGGATAACACATTAAACATTGAACATGTTCAGGATTGTATAAGTATAATCATTTACTTATGGCAACAGTCAACTGTAATCTCTTACACCCCTCATTTGCTATTAGTTTATGACAATGGCTAGTTTGAATTATCTGCAAGAGCTTGATTTACCCGAAATTCCTTGCCATTTAATTGAATGTCTTGAACTATGTACTTCCGTATTCTCTCACAAGTACAACTTTAAAGTGCTCACTATGAATATCAAGAGTATACACCATAGCTTTGACGATTTTCTTTTGACACTAGCAAGGCTGAACACTTCATTTAACGTTTCTATACTCACAGAATGTTGGATCAATACAGACTCTTTAATACCTGTAATTGACGGATACATAGCATTTAGAACCCATAAGCACATAAATAGAGCTGGTGGTGTTGTGGCCTATGTGAGTAATATCTGGGAACCGGAAGTCAATGAACCGTTGTTTGATGATGCTTATTATCTCCATATACTTTTGAAAAATAATTTAAATCTGTATGCAATTTATCGTTTCCCCTCTTTTTCCGATATCACTCCTTTTTTAAACTCACTTGAGGTTAATGTTAATTCTGTCCAACCCTCCCCACGTACAATCGTTGCTGGTGATGTTAATACTAACACGCTGGCTGGTAATGGTGATCAGCACCTTGATTCAAGCAGTAAGTCCTTGTGTCTGCTTGCTGAGTTAAACTTGATTCCCACAATCAATAAACCAACTAGAGGTAACTCTTGTTTAGACCACATACACGTGACGCCAGGGCACCTACTGTTGGGGTTGTATGTCGATCAGATATTACAGGTACTTCTATCGAAAGACCAAAAACAGAAAATAAAAAGGCGACTGGTGAATAGGGTTGACTACGATTCCATCGACAGAGAGTTAAGCCATGTGGAT